CGGGCGCGGTGGCTCAAGCCTGTAATCTCAGCACTTTTGGGAGGCCCGAGGCCGGGTGGATCACGAGGTCAGGAGATCGAGACATCCTGGCTAACATGGTGAAACCCCGTCTCTACTAAAATACAAAAAACTAGCCGGGCGTGTGGCGGGCGCCTGTAGTCCCAGCTACTCGGAGGCTGAGGCAGGAGAATGGCGTGAACCTGGGAGGCGGAGCTTGCAGTGAGCCGAGATCACGCCACTGCACTCCCAGTCTGGGTGACACAGCGCGAGACTCCGTCTCAAAACAAAAAAAAAAAAAAAAAAAAAAAAGACGAGAGTTCACCTCGTGTTGCCCAGGCTGGAGTGCACTGGTGTGATCTTGGCTCACTGCAACCTCCATTTCCCGGGTTTGAGCAATTCTCCCCTGCCTCAGCCTCCCAAGTAGTTGGGAATTACAGGCATGTGCCACCATGCCTGTCTAATTTTCTATTTTAGTAGAGATGGGATTTCACCAATTTTGGTTAGGCTTGGTCTCAAACTCCTGACCTCAGGTGATCCACCCACCTCGGCCTCCCAAAGTGCTGGGATTACAGGCATGAGCCACCACACCTGACCATTTTTATATATTTCATACTCTAAAGCATGTTTCTGAATTTTAATTATAGATACGGTATATACGTCTGTTTACCCTTTCTCTTTATTTTTTAGATTTTTATTAACATTCTCTCTAAGACTTTATATTTCCAGATAGAGATGTGCTTTTTAATGAAAAGTTTCCCTTTATACCATGTTTATTTCAGTTGTCCTTATTTGTATATTTTCCTACAGTTTATACCTTGTTTCTTAATTCAAAATATCTTACTGTATTTAATGGTTTTTCTTTTTTTTTCCTGATTTTAATTTCTGTATCAAAGTTGGTCTTCATTGACTTTCCTTTTTAGCCTATTTCAGTTCTCATAAATAAGAGAAAAGTCAAATTCTACATTATCCATGGCAAGGAAAAACCATCTGTTAACCTCAGCATGGGGAACAGAGAGGCGTGTTGGACACCATGACTTTCCGTTTCTGTTGGCTGCGCCTGGCCACTGCTATCCCAGAAAAAAACCTGGAGAGAGACATAGCCTTTCAACTCATGCTTGTCTGATCTTTGCCTGGTTTCACAGAAAAGCACAGTGGTGAGGTCATTTTGATTTAGAGCCGTTCCCCATCTGATGCCAGGATCCCTTTAACAGTGGTGGAGGAGGTCTAGACGCAGTGTTGAGTTTGATTCCCTCTGTCTTCTCTCGTAGTTTGGCCTGTCACTGCTCCTTATCCTCCTGAGCCGTGGTGAAGACCTACAGAGTTCAGACCCTGCTACAGAATCAACGCAAAATAATCAGTGGTCAGTGTGGACTGTTTCTTCTCTTATTTTAAGTTATTTGAGGTAATCTTTTAAATTTTTGTCTCATAATATTATTATGGGTCTTCCCTGTCAGGACGGAGGTGATGTTCATGGCAACACGAGAACTTCTACGAATTCCCCAAGCAGCCTTGGCCAAGCCAATCTCTATACCTACAAACCTAGTGTCCCTCTTTTCTCGCTATGTTGACCAGCAGAAACTGAACTTGCTGGAGACAAAACTGCAGTAAGTTTGAAACAGGAGAGTTTCACATCTCACTAAAGCTGGGACTTGAGAAGTTATGGTGGGGAGGCTGGGAGCGGTGGCTCACACCTGTAATCCTAGCACTTTAGGACACCCAGGAGGGTGGATCACTTGAGGCCAGGAGTTCCAGACCAGCCTGACCAAAATGGTGAAACCCTGTCTACTAAAAAAATACAAAAATTAGCCAGGTGTGGTGGTGCATGCCTGTAATCCCAGCTATTCAGTAGGCTGAGGTATGAAAATCATTTAAACCCAGGAGGCAGAGATTGCAGTGAGCTGAGATCGCGCCACTGCACTACAGCCTGGGTGACAGAGCAAGACCCTGTCTCAAAAAAATAAATAAATAAAAAGAAGGTATGATTGGGGTGAAGGGGGGAATAAAACTGAATTTGGTGGAAGAGATTGATTTTTTATTAACTATTTGTGTCTATCTGTTAGATATAAAACACTGAACTGGGTACAACAGGGCCTTCATAAAAGATGACTAAATGCTAAGGGTAGAGGAGTATCTCGGGTGTTTTGTTATGAGAAGTCTTACAAAGATGTAACTGTAATATGAAAGATTGCCTTTTGTTTTAACTCATTTATACAATTTTCCTTTCTCTCCTTTTACCCCTAGGCTAGTTCAGGGGATACGATAAAAGATCTCCAAATGTGTCCTGTACCTCCTTTTGGCTGTCACCTGCACTGCTGCCATCACCAATGGAGTGTTTTTAATGAGGGAGGGAAGGTAGCTTTTTCCCCAAAGCAAAGTCTTGTGGGATCGATTCCTGTTTACAGGGGTTGTCTCTCTAAATGTCAGATATTTCCCCACTGCTCTATGAAATTTGGCTGGGTGATACTTCTGCTGGTTTCTTCTTTACCTTCTGTGTTACAGTTCTGCATGTCCTACTTTTACTCAGTTCTCAATTTTGCATTTTCTTTGCCCTAGAGACACAAGTGTAATCTCTCCCTTTATCCCACCACTACTCCAGCTCAGAGTAGACTGTAGCCTGCCAAAGGATTCCTTCCCTCATCCTATTGAAGTTGTTTTTTCATTGCCCCATATTAATATGACTATAGAAGAGCCAATTAAGTAGAAATCAAGATATACACACACACGTAGATACATACACACACACACACCCCATAAATGTATTTATGTGGTCTTCAGAGGGTCCTTAAAGAATGAATTTTAGATTGAAAAATATTTAGTTGTCTCATTACTTCCTCTAAACACAAACCAGCTGATGTATTTTAATCTGTTTCTGTTCTATCTTGTAATTAATTTGGTGGGTTCTACTTGTTTTAACATAAATAAAGAGTATGCAGCACGTTTAATAAAATCAGAACTCTTAATTGGCTTATGCCCAAATCTAGGCTGAGAAGTCCTTTTTCTTCTTCCCACCTTTATTTCCTTAGTTTCTGTCCACCTTAATGGAAATAGCACATGGTTATGTCTTTTTCCTGCTACAACTACAGTGTACTTGAGCCTTTCCCTCAAGTGCATTTGAAGTCACCCAGGATGGTCCTCACTAGTAGCCTGCTTTGGCAGTGTGGCTTTTTGCACACTTGCCCTGTCTTCCAGAGACTACTTCAGTAAGCCATGCTTCCTTCTTCCCCACTTTTATTTGGTGTCATGAATAGAAACTTCCAGCTGTAACCATGGAAGCTCAGTTTGGCCTGCTTTACTTTTTAGTCTCCACACCATGGGCAGAACTGCTGTCCTTACTACTTCATCTCACCCAAGTCCCGTTCCCAGGCAGCCAGGGGCCTGGGTTTGAATAATTGCAGGGCCAGCCTGCCATGATCTTTCTCACTTACTCCTCTCCCATTCAGCAATCAACCAGACTAAGGAGTTTTGACCCCTAGTGATTACAGCCCTGAAGAAAATTAAATCTGAATTAATTTTACATGGCCTTCCTGATCTTTCTGCTGTTCTTACCTTTTCGAATGTAGTTGGGGGGTGGGGGGGCAGGTTATGATATTTAAAGAGAATAAACATTTTGCACATACATGTATTGTACAACAGTAAGATCCTCTGTTAAAACCAGCTGTCCTTGTTCTCCATCTCCATTTCTTCCCATGCTGTAACCCCAGGCTCCACCAGCTGTTCCCCAGTGACGTTACCTAGCTTCCCTCTACCGTTACCTACTGACCATTTCCACTACACGCCTTTCCTACCTTCCCTTCACAACCAATCAAGTGAATACTTGATTATTATCTCTTCCTTACTGTGCTTTATCTTTTTTGTTTTGTTCTAATTAATGAAAATAAAAGTTTCTAAATTTACATTTTTATAGGGTATTGTAAATAAAAACAAATTGTATACTTAAAAATGAGTGCCTGCATTTCTACTTTGTTACCTCAGAATATGATTTTTATGTTTCTAGCATATTTAGATAGACTGGCAACTTGATGTTGGGGATTAAAGATATTATTACCTATATTTTTACCTTTTTAATTTTGTTGCAAAGAAGACATTTTTATATAGTAACTTTTCTTTAAAAATCTAAGATGCTTTCAGTTTCTCCTCCCCCCATTTTAACTATACGACAAAATTATAAATTGTAGTAGATAAACTGTAGTTTGTCTTCTCCATCCTGCCCATCTCTGGGCACTGAGGAATCTGTCCCCCTTTAAGAGACTCATGTAGCCCAATGAGGCATTCAGCTGCCTTCATGGATAGTATGTACTTAGTTCTGAGCATATTGTATTTCAAAATTCATCTCTTCAAAGGAGATGGGAAAAGGTTGGTCATTCTTTATAGTAAATTTATTTTTATTATTTCAGACTTGAGTATCATTTTTACTCTAAAATGCTCAAGATAAAAGATTCAGCAAACACATAGAAAGGGGCAAAAAAAGTGGGGTTTTGTTTTCAAGACAGGGTCTCTGTTGCTCAGGCTGGAGTGCAGTGGCACAGTAGCACAATCACCACTCACGGCAGCCTCAATCTCCCAGGCTCAAGTGATCCGCCTCAGCCTCCCAAGTAACTGGGACTACAGGTGTGCACCACCACACCTGGCTAATTTTTATACTTTTTTGTAGAGTTGAGATCTCCCTATGTTGCCCAGGCTGGTCTCAAACTCCCAGGCTCAAGTGATCCTCCCACCTTGGCCCCCCAAAATGCTGGGAGTACATGTGTGAATCACTGCACACAGCCTGAAGTTTTTTTCTTTTTTTGAGACGAGTCTCTCTGTCACCCAGGTTACAGTGCAGTGACACAATCACGGCTCACTGCAGCCTCTACCTCCCAGGCTCAAGCAGTTCTCCCACCTCAGCCTCCCAAGTAGCTGGGACTACTATAGGTGGGTGCCATCATGCCCAGCTAACTTTTTTGATTTTTAGTAGAGATGAGGTCTTGCTACATTGCCCAGGCTGGGCTCAAACCCCTGGCTCAAGGGATTCTCCTGCCTTGGCCTCCCAAAATGCTGGATTACAGGAGTGAGCCTCCAAAGTTTTAAATGATAAAGAGACAGGAGATCCTTTAACATTATGAGGTGCCTACCTACATAAAGCTTTTTTTTTTTTTTTTTCCCTGATGAGGAGATGGGTTCCTTGAGGTTCAGCAGTAGCTTGCGGAGGTGACACAGGTAATGGGCAGCAGAGCAGGAGACTCACACAGCATATTATTGCTATAAGGAAATAAAATTATCTTCCAGTAAAAGATTTATTCACACCTTTTAACATGAAACAACACAAGGTATTAATAGATAGCCCTGCTTTGTTAGACTGGACTGGCCCAAGGATGCCCCTACCTTCACAGTAGACTAGATTCCAAAAGTCAGACGTGAAGAAATCCCTAGAGATCATGTAGTTCAGTCCTCACAATTTGAGGAAGCCAGATCTCTGAGAGAGCAGTGACTTGGTCAAGGTGCCACAGCTGGCTAGTAGTAAAGCCAAGAAAAAAAACTCATATGTGAGGCTAGGTGCAGTGGCTCATGCCTGTAATCCCAGCACTTTGGGAGGCCAAGGCAGGCAGATCACCTGAGGTCAGGAGTTTGAGATCAGCCTGGCCAACATGGTGAAAACCTGTCTCTCCTAAAATTACAAAATTAGCTGGGTATAGTGGCACATGCCTATAATCCCAGCTACTCGGGAGGCTGAGGCAGGAGAATCACTTGAACCCGGGAGGCAGAGGTTGCAGTGAGCTGAGATTGCACCACTACATTCCAGCCTGGGGAACAAGAGCGAAACTCCATCTCAGTCTCAAAAAAAAAAAAAGAAAAGAAAAGAAAAATTTGTACATGGGATTTTACTGTGTTGCCCAGGCTGGTCTTGAACTACTGGGTCCAAGTGATTCTCCCGCCTTGGCTTCCCAAAGTGTTGGGATTACAGGCATGAGCCACCGTGCCTGGTCACAAATGACTTTTAAAAGTCATGAGCCACCACGCCTGGTTCTGGGCAACATAGTAAAATCCCATGTACAATTTTTTTATTATTATTTCTTAAAAAGCTGTTTGTAAACCTCAGAGTAACTAATGAGGACAATATTAACTTCAAAAAAAATTTAGTGATGCACTAAAATAATCTACAAGAATAAGACAGAGTTGAAAACTGATACTAATGCAAGTAATATCCTGTGTAAGAAAAAGAAGACCCTGATAAATACATAGGTAATTAACCCTAATGGGTAATAGGTACAACCTTGTGAATAATCATTCACAAAATAAAGTACAAGTGAGTAATATTAAGAACCTCACCCCCACTGGTAATCAGAGAACTAAAAAGTAAATGTTTTTAACCTACCGAGTTAATAAACACTTTAAAAATAATGTTAGAATTTGGGGCTGCCACTCACTGGCGGGGGTAAATGTCTACCTTTCTGGAAAGTGCTTTCACCGTGTGGAGCACTTCAAAGTATTCTTAGCCTTTGAACAATGACTTTGGCTTTATAAATCTAAGGAAATATAACAAAGCAATAGTACTTACCACAGCTTTACTTATTTTATTTTTGAAGACAAGATCTCGCTTTGTTGCCCAGGCTTTAGGGCAGTGGCGCAATCGTAGCTCACTGCAGCCTTGAACTCCTGGCCTCAAGCAATCCTCCCACTCCAGCCTCACGAGTAGCTGGGACTACAGACACATGCCACCTTGCCCAGCTAATTATTTTAGTTTTTGTAGAGACTCTGTTACCCAGGCTGGTCTCAAACTTGCCTTGGTCTCCCAAATGATTCATTAGAGGCATGAGCCATTTCACCCAGTCAGCTTTACTTATAATAGAAAAATTAGAAATAATCTAAATGTTCAACATTACAATAATGATTAAGTAAACAATGATCCATGTGTTGTGGACAATTAGGCAGAATATTGGACTAGGTGCAGTGGCTCATGCTTGTAATCCCAGCACTTTGGGAGGGTAGACTTTGCAAGACTTTGCAAAAACATTTAAAAATCAGCCAGGCATGGTGGCATGTGCCTGCACTCTCAGCTAACTCAGGAGGCTGAGGCAGGATTGCCTGAGCCCAGGAGTACGAGGCTGTAATGAGATTCAGCCTGGGAGACCGAGCAAGACTCTGTCTAGAAAAATTTAAAAAGGTAGAATATTTAATCATGGAAAATATTTGATATAGTATGGTGAAAAACCATATATATGCTTTGAATCCAATTTTTAAGAAAAATGCATGTATGAAGAAAATATTGGAAAGATATGTTTCTAAAGATTACTGGTATCTGTAGGTGATGGGATTATGGAGAACTTTCTTTTCTTTTTGGCTTCTTGATAATTTTCAAGTTTCCTATAGAGAAAATGTATTGCTTATGTTCTTAGAAGAAAAAATGTTTTTAAAGAAAAAGTTGTTTTTGAAGAATTTAGTTACATAGGAAAATGTAAGAATATAATGTTAAGTAAAAAATAGGTTCTGTATATGTACATGACAATCTCTGTGGAGTAAAAAATATATGGGAGGCTGGGCGTGGTGACTCACGCCTGTAATTCTAGCACTTTGGGAAGCCAAGGCAGGCAGATCACTTGAGATCAGTAGTTCGAGACCAGCCTGGCCAATATGGCAAAACCTCGTCTCTACTAAAAATACAAAAATTAGCTGGGCGTGGTGGTGTGCACCTTTAATCCCAGCTACTCGGGAGGCTGAGGCTGGATAATTGCTTGAACCCAGGAGGTGGAGGTTGCAGTGAGCCAAGATTGTGCCACTGACCTCCAGCTTGGGCAACAGAGTGATACCCCGTCTCTCTCTCTCTCTCTCTCTCTATCTATATATGTTTTATATTTTTTTACATATATATGTCTATATCTATATGTATGTATATATATCTCCATATATATACACATATATATATGGGCGAGAAGAGTGAAATCAAAGATGACCAAATAGTGGTTGCCTTTAAGGAAACGGGCTGTGGAGGATTTTGTGAGTAGGTGATTGTTCCTGCTTTTTCATATTTTCCCAATTTGTCTTCAATGAGCATGTATCATAACCTTAAAAGGGGGATATTATCTTAAAACTGCTAAAGATAGGCTGGGCATGGTGGCTCACGCCTGTAATCCCAGCACTTTGGGAGGCTCAGGCGGGCGGATCACCTGAGGTAGGGAGTTTGAGACCAGCTTGGCCAGCATGGTGAAACCCTGTCTCTACTAAAAATACAAAAATTAGCGTTGGGAAGGCCTGAGGCGGGCAGATCACAGGGTCAGGAAAACGAGGAATATCTGGCCAACATGGCGAAACCCGTCTCTACTAAAAATTACAAGAATTAGCCGGGGCGTGGTAACTCATGCCTCGAAGGCTGAAACAGGGAGAATCGCTTAGAACCCAGGAGTGGTGGTTGTGGTGAGCTGGAGATCGTGCAATTGGCAACTCCAGCCTGGGCAACAAGAGGGAAACTCCCGTCAAAAAAAAAAAAATGCTCATCATCACTGGGTCGTTAGAGAAAGATGCAATCAAATTAAAATGAGATACCATCTCATGCCGGGTCAGAATGGTGATCATTAAAAAGTTAGGACTTATTTTTTAATGAGAAATAGCTTTACTATCTTTAGCAGTGTTTTTTTGTTTTGTTTGTTTTATTTTTGTTTTTTGAGACAGAGTCTCGCTTCTGTTGCCAGGCTGGGTGCAAATGCGCGATCTCCGCTCACCACAACCTCTGCCTCTCCTTCAGGGTTCAAGCGATTATCCTGCTCAGTTCCCGGTTAGCTGGGATTACAGGCCAATGTGCCACACCACGCCCTGGGCTAATTT